CTCAAGATGTCTCCACTCTACTCTGTCCTGTGCAGCTGCGATCCAGTTTGTCACTATTCTTTTAATGTCGTCCGTCCATCTGGTAGGTGGTCTTCCACGATTTCGCTTGTCTGCCCTTGGCCGCCATTCTAAAATCTTCTTTGTCCATCTGTTGTCTCCCTGTCTTGCGACGTGTCCTGACCATTTCCACTTCAACTTCGTAATCCGTTTTATGACGTCTTCCACTCCAGTTCTTCGCCGTATCTCATCATTTCCTATTCGGTCTCTCAAAGTTACGCCAAGCATAGATCTTTCCATTTTTCGTTGTGCTACTTGTAACTTTTTTATTGATGCTTTAGTCAATGTCAGTGTCTCAGCTCCATAAGTGAGCACCGGAAGTACGGACTGGTTAAATGCTTTTATCTTTAGCTTTATTGGGATGTTTTCCTTAAACACGTCTTTTAGCTTGCCATAGGCTGCCCATCCTAAAGCTATTCTTCTAGATAATTCGCATGTTTGGTTGTCTCTACTTATTTGCATTTCGTGGCCCAGATATATGTATTTGTCAACCGTTTCAATATGCCAGTTTTCTAGTTTCAATGGTCCACTAGGTACTAAGTTGGTCATCATTTTAGTTTTCGCAAAGTTTATTTCCAGCCTACTTTTTGGGAGACTCGTTGTAAATCTTGTAGCATTTCGTTGGCCTCCTTTAAGTCGTCGGTTATTAGAACTATGTCATCTGCAAATCGTAGGTGGTTCAGCCTTTCGCCATCGACACTCAAACCTCTGTTTTCCCATTCTAACATCTGAATGCATGCTGCATTACGGCATTGAATAGTTTTGGTGACATGTTGTCTCCTTGTCTAACTCCCCTTTTTAGTTTTATTTTTTAAGTAGGGGTGTGGAGGTTTATTGCTGTTGTGGCATTTGCATATATATGTTGAATAATGCTGGTATATCGGTAGTCGATTCTACAATCTCTCAAAGCTCTTAAGATAGCTACCATCTCGATAGTGTCTCGATAGTCAACAAATACTAGAACTAGTGGCCGGTTGTACTCTATAGTTTTTTCAATTAGGGCCTTTAGACAAGTTAGATGGTCATTTGTACCATACCCAGGGCGGAAACCTGCCTGTTCTCTTGGTTGGCATGTTTCTAGTTTGTTCTCAATTCTGGCAGTGATAATTCGAGCAAATAATTTATACAGGTGACTTAGAAGACTGATTGGCCTATAGTTTTCGAGGTCTGTTTGATCTCCTTTCTTATGCATGAGGAGCAGTATAGAATTATTCCATTCAGCTGGTATTGCTTGGTTTTCTAAGCATATATTGAAGAGCTGCTTGATTGTCCTGATGAGAGCAGAGCCTCCGATTTTTAGCGCATCCGCCACTACTCCATCTTCTCCTGGTGCTTTGTTTTTTTTTTTTCATTTTCTTTAGAGCATGGTAAATTTCAGCCGTTGATATGTCGGGAATATCTTCTGAACCTTGATTCATAATTTTTTGTTCTGTATGTTCTGTCGGGTTTAAGTCCAATTTATTTGTGTATAGTGTTTTATAGAAGTCTTCTACTATCTCTAGCATTTCGTCTCTGTTGGACGTTAGTTTGCCATTCTTTCCCTTAAGTCTGATGATTTCTTTTCTGCTGTTCGTTAATTTCCTTCTTAATATCTTCATGCTCTTGTTGTGCTCGATTGTCTGCGAGATTTTCTCATTTTTATATGCCCTTATGTCCTTTCTAATTGCTTTTGTGACCTCTTTGTTGATTTTATTTATGCTTTGTTGTTCTATACTCTTATCTTTTAGCATTTCTCTTCTTTCTTCCATTGATATGCAGCTAGCGCCTCAGAAAACTGAGGTATTAGTTCTCAAAGGGACCCATAAAAAATCCTCACTTCGCTTTATAGTGGAAGGTGTGGAGGTTGCACCTGTAAAATCAATTAAGTATCTGGGAATCTGGTTGTCGGAAGGTCTAAGGTTTGGAGTACACATCCAAAAGAGAGTAGAGAAGGCGAACTGAAATCTGGAGGCGTTGATACGGCTGATGCCAAACATTGTAGGTCCAGGAAGCACCAAGAGAAGTTTGCTAAATGGAGTTTTCCAGTCGGTGGTAACCTGCGCTGTCCCTGTGTAATGTAGTGTACTAAACACTGCGAAATACGCTAAGCTGATGGAGACTTTGCAAAGGCGAATGCTCCTCAGGGTATCTAGCGCAAATAGGACAATTTCAAATGAGGATGTTTTGTTGTGTAAAGAGCGAGCCAGGAGGATGGATGTAAATATAGATGATAATGAGAAAGAAAGAACGATAGTAGAATCGCAGGGCGAATGGGGGAATGATATTGGAAAGACAACGTGGACGAAGGAGCTTATTCCCGATCTGATACCGTGATGAGAATATAAGTTCAGGAAACTAGACTACTTCCTGACGCAGTTTCTGACCGGACATGGTAGTTTTGGCGCCTTCACAAATAGAATAGGTAAATTTACCTAGGCACACTGTACTATTTGTTGGGTACCGAACACTCCCGCCCACATTTTTAACTGCCAGAGATGGGCAAATAAAATGGGAGATTTTGAGAGGCGAATGGGTTTCGGGCTGGATGAAAGAAACATTGCAAACATAATGTTGAGAGAAAGGAAAGAATGAAGAGAAGTACACTGTCTGATTTATGCAGTGATGAAGAAAAAGGAGCAGGAGGACAGAAGAGGAAATTGTTATTAGTTTATGGCCTAACGTCTAAACATTTTCTGATTTACGGTAATAGGTATGGTTATTTATAATTTGTTAGGTTTTTAATTTAGTTGTTTATTGTATACGTAAAATATCATGGCAAAATATTTAATTTGCATGTTAAATCAAAAGTTCTACTAGTTTTACATTTACATTGAAACACTTGATCTTGATAGTTAAACAAGAATTACGTACCTTCTGTAAAATTTCTTGAATGAACTAAAAAACCTTATGTTCCAATTTTGAAACTTCCTCAGTTCTTTTAAAACCCTCAAAGCGTTAGGAAAGTCTTGAATCTTCACAAAGCCAATATTTCCTTTTTGATACAGATCCAAGAAATATTTTGGATCAATTATCTGTACGATAATATTATACATCTCCAATTTAGATACAGGAACCGTGGAAAAAGCTTCAAAATAAACGCGAACGTCCTAAAAATAAATAAAATAATAAATCAATAGGTATCTATATATATATATATATATATATATATATATATATATATATATATATATATATATATATAGTGAAAAAGCGATAAACTCTTGTATCAACGCTGATCAAATAGAATACAAAACTCAAATATTTGGGTTTGCAGCGAAAGATAGGACAAAGAAGTACTCTTTTTAGTTTACCAAGCTTTCGAAAATCTTTATTTGCATCATCAGGGTGCTACAATAAACAGAATTAGTACAAATCACAGAGTAAAAATTACTTTGCATCTTACACTAATTGAGGTTAGTTGTCTTGAAGTTTATCAAATGAAATTGGCAACTCATTTGACCCCTACAAACGATGGCGAAAACTATTAAAAATTGATTTTAAAAAACGTTGTTTAACATACATATTTAAAACACTTTAAAACACATACACATAAACATTTAAATAAAATCATGTTAAAATAATTACAAAACATGTACGTAGTTACAAAATAAAATTTTTTGGTTATAAATATTCTTATCAGAAACAAAAGAATTGGTTGTGACTTCGTTGCTACCAACTTAAAACGACAGAACGTTAGATCTTAAATGATAACGATGTAAAGGTAATAGTATACCTGATAGAAGCTAAACTTTTTAAAAAAGAAAAGACAAAAAGACTTATTTTAGAAGTAGGAGAGGTATTGTATATCTCATATATAATGAAACTTATATTGTCGACGATGAATTGTCTGTATTAGTAGATTCATGTTTATCTAAAGTTAACAATAATGGATATAAGTTGCTTAAATTATTGGTAACCAGATAAGGAATTATATATTCAACCTAATATAATAGTAGTCATAAAGGCACAGAGATTAAGATAACTTGGTCACCTAGAAAGGATGCCGAACACGAGGACTCCAAAAAGAGTACTAAACTACAATATAGCTTCAAAAAAGAGAAAAGGAAGGCCAAAAAATAGATGGAATCACGATGTAGAAAAAGATATGGAAAAATTGGACTAGAAGGCCAGAAAAGAAAAATGAATAACAAGAAGGAATGGAGAAAAATTACATATCGAGCCAGAGAAGGTCTCAGTATATAACGAAAAGCGAAATTGAATAAAGAACAAACTTTTCGAGCCACGGGTCTCTAAGGCCTTTAGTGCTTTTGTATATATGTAACATCAATAATGACATATACCTCAGAAATAAGATCTGACACAGCCGCAAATGCAAAGGCTACTCGAAGCTGCAGAGATGAGAGTACTGAGAAGATTTGCAGGAAATATGCTGAGTGATCAAAAATGTAGTGAAGACATTAGAAGAAAATGTACCGTACAGTGCATAGATAAATGGGCACAAAATAAAAAAAAAGAATGAAATACCCCCATAAGCAGAATAGAAGAGACATGTGTCGTCAAAATAGCAAGTCACCAAGTCAAAATAGAGGTATTAATCCGCCAATAAACGAGCAGAATTGCTTATAAAGAGGAAGAAGAAGAAGAAGGTATTAATTACCCTGTTTATTAAAATAAATGATAAAAATGTAAGTACTTACCCCAGTATTTTCTTCTGGATCAGCCCAGTCGATTTCTAGATTATGGCCGAAAAACAAAAACTCATCGAACACCTTCCTGCGTGCCTCTAAAGCATGCCTGTGCGTATCATAAATCAAAATATAGCTTGTTAGAAAAGGATCAGACGAAGAATCAGGCGATTTTAATTCAAACATGTTTTGTAATCCATTTCCTATAATATCCGATACATGTCTACGAATATGTATTGAATGTTCTTTTGGAACGTCGTTGAGTTGTAATCGGTTGTTATCAATAGACATGTAAACTTTTATATATTGACCATTAACCTTACTTTTATTGAGTAGAATCGTAGCTTTTCTAGCTGCTGTAACATCAAAAAATTTGACAAAACCCATACCTCTGCAATATCCACTAAATTCTTGAAGAATTCTAATTTGATAAATATCACCAATCGGCAACATCATTTCAAGAATTTCTTGAATTAAGATATCTCTTCTCAGACCACTTATGAATATTTCGGTACCACGACCAGGAGGGCTTACATATTTCATTGTAGCCAAAATTTGAGCCTTGTAGGGCGTAACATCATATATTGATGAAAAATCGCCCTTACTGCATACCATCCGATGTTGAGAACTGTCAAATATTAAAACTAAACTTCTTCCCGACATGTTAAAACAAATACACACTATTAAACGACCTATCACTACAGCAAAACGACTCAAAAAGAATTTATATTTCTTACCAACAAAGCTTGACCCTCGAAGCAGTCATGTGATAAGAAGCTAGACCAATTAAATCTTTAATATTCAAATTCACAAAGAGAAGTGACATCAACAAAGATAATAAACAACTATTCACCTCAGTAAGGTTCTAAGAATGCGTTTTCTAATCAGGTGGAGGTCTGTCTATTATGTGCAAAACAATAGAGTCGTTGTCTATCAAGGCAGTCGAATATCTGGAGATAATTGTATTCAGATACAACTGGAAGAACCCTACACTTATAATTTTAGTAACTGGTCTTTTAATTGCCGACAGTTATTAATATTTAGTGTGTTGGATAAAACAGAATAAAAATAAAATAGAAACAATCTTATTGTCACTGAAAACTTGTCGTACAATGTTATGGACAAATCTTACAAAAAGTAAAAAAATTACAATAACAATTAAAATTTACTGAAATTACATAAATTTTCAACATTACAAATAAACAATCCATTGCAAAATTTAAATAAATTGCAAATTGCCTAATAAAACCTTACGAACTAATAAGTTTAAGTTGCTGCATGTGATACCCAAATATATATCATCATCATCCTCAACTAGCCTCTAACGTCCACTGCTGAACATAAGCCTCTCGCATGCTTTTCCATTTAGTCCGATTTTGCGCCATTTGAATCCAATTCGTAGTCACTCTTTTTATGTCATCTGTCCATCTCGTTGGGGGTCGACCTTAAATTCTGTTAGCTTGTATTCGGGGTCTTCATTCCAAAATGAGCTGCCCAGTTCCACTTTAGTGTTGTTATCCTTTCAATACCGTCTGCTACTCCTGATCTTTTGCATATAGTAACATTGGGTATTCTATCACGTAGAGAAATCTCTTACATTATTCTTTCCATTGCCCTTTCCGCAACTTGAAGTTTACTCACTGTTGTTCTTGTGAGTGTTAGGGTTTTTGCGCCGTAGGTCATCACTGGCAAAATACACTGATTAAATACTTTTCTTTTAAGACACATTGGAATCTTAGACCAAAAAATATCCTTCGTCTTTCCAAATGCAGCCCAAGCGAGATTTATTCTTCTTTTCAGCTCGATTGTTTGGTTGTCTTGACTTATTCTGATCTCAGGGCTTAAGTATTTATAGGAGTCATCTGGCTCAATATCTTTGTCTTCTACTGAGATGTTTTTGTTGTGGACTAAATTTGTCATAAATTGTGTTTTTGAAAAATTTATTTTAAGGCCAACTCTTTTTGTGGCAGTATGGAGTTCTTGGAGCATTATCTGTACCTGATCAAAGCTGTCGGCAATAAGAACCATATCATCTGCAAATTTAAGGTTACTTATACATTAATTTTCCATATACATTGACGCCCTTTTTGTTCCAATCTATTGTTTTACAAGCGTATTCTAGCAAAATTGTAAATAATTTAGGAGATATATTGTCTCCTTGCCGAACGTCTCTTTCAATATGAAAGGTCCCAGTATCTCCATTAAGTCTTACACAGGCTGTAGCATGCTGATAGATGTATTTGATGAGGGATATGTGTCGGTGATCTATTCTACATTGTGTTAGAGCTTGGAGCATTTTACTTTAATTGACCGTATCAAATGCTTTTTCAAAGTCGACAAAGATAAGTATCAGGGGTCTATTATATTCAATGGTTTTTCAATTAACGACTTATTGGTTTGCAAATGATCATTTGTTCCGTATCCAGCTCTAAATCCTGCTTGCTCGCAAGGTTGATAGAAGTCCAGTTTTGATGTCAACCTATTAGTTGTTATCTTCATAAACAACTTATAAACGTAAGATAGGCATAAGTTATACAATTGTGTCAATGCTTTCAATACTGTCTTTCATTCTGCTTTAACTGGCTCAAAAACGATTTGGTCATCACCAGCTGCTTTATTGTTTTTTATTCGATTTAATTGCTTTTAGACTTCTTCGATTGTTATTTCTGGGATATCCTCTGAACTCACATTTTGGACTTTTCTCAACTTTCTTATTCCTTTCTCTATATAATTCTGTGTAAAATTCTTCAACTACTTTAATTATCTTATCTTTATCTGCTACCACTTTTCAATTTCGATCTGAGAGCTTAACAATATTCTTCTTACCTAGAGCTTGACATCTCTTCAGCACCTTAAACTTTTATTTTCCTCGACAACCGTTGTAATCTTTTTTGTGGTATATTGTCCTACGTCCTTTCTCACTGCTTTATTATTATCTTTATTAAGTTCTTGTAGTACGCGTGCATTCGTATCGTTTTTGTTCTTAAGTTCTCTTCGTATCTTCATAAAGCTTGTCGCTCACTTATGCAATGCAACGCGAAGCGAAGCGCGGAGAAAAAGGTTGGTATAAATTTTCTTCATGTAGTTAAATATACTCGCGCGTATCTGTGCGAAGCAACGCGCTGCGCAGCGAAGAGAAGGGACACGGATCGTAACCGTAAAATCCTAGGCGAAGAAATTCTGTTCGGCGCGCTTCACGTTGCAGTGCATAAGTGAGCGACAAGCTTAAGTCTTTTTGTTTCTTGACTGAAATATATATACAGTGTGTCAATTTTAAAGCTTACAATAGGGTATATCTCACGAATAAAAGCTGATATTAAAAAATACTTAAAAGCGTTTCTAGGATAGTAAGGGGAGCTAAAATGACATAAAAGAGAACTCAGTTCCATTAACCTCCTAGGCCCCACCCACCGCAACCAAAAAAGTTTACTTGCGATACATTACTGACTACTACTACTTGTCGGTTTATAACGTTCTCCGCCGTTTTCCGACTTTCAACCGCCACTTAGACTGGTTGTTCCATAGGTCTTCCTCTATGGCCCTCTCTCTCAGTTCTTTATTTATTTCTTCCATCCATCCAATGGCACTACAGCCCAAATCGGGCCTTGGCCTCCTTCAACAAACTTCTGCAATCATTTCGATTTACCACTGTTCTTTTTCATGAACGCGTTCCCAGGTAGTTTCTGGCATCCTCATCGACTTCATCTTCCCATCTCTTTTTAGGTCTTCGAACAGGTCTTTTCCCTGCATTCTTGCATTAAGAGATAGTGCAAGCACTCCTGACCAAGGCGCAGTAGACGAAATTCGGTTTGGTCCCCACTTCCATGCGAAACGCATTGTACTATGCACTGTATAACTTCCCTTACAATAGAACCTTTCTGCCTTTACGTGAATTTGACTCCGTGGTCAGGAGTGTTTAAACTATCTTTAGTAATTTTCTGGGGATTCTATTCTCATGCATGCGGATCACGTGCCCTGTCCACCATAATATCTGCAGTTAAGTGTATTGTGCTAGAGTTGGTTCGCTATATTGCTCGTATATTTCTCTATTACACCTAATTCGTCAGTTGTTGTTTTCACTTATTTTGCCCAGTATCCTACGTAATACCTTTCTTTAAAACACATCTAATGCATTGGCAGATTTCTGTGTCACCACAGCCATAACTTACTATGGGCCTGATTATTGTTTTATAGACCCGGAGTTTTGTTTTCCGGTGTACGTCTCTTGATTTGAATATGTGGCCCATCGCGAAATAGGCTTTATTTGCCAGCACAAGCATTCTATTTATTTTCGGTTCTTCTTCATTGCTTGTGACCAGATCTATTCCTAAGTATGTGAACCTATTCACATGTTCTATATCATCAATAAAGTGTTGTTGCGCCGGTCTATTTGATATGGTTTGTATGAGTAGTTTTGTTTTATTTGGATTTATTACTAGCCCTACTGCTTCTGCATTCTGTTTCAACTCAACGTAGGTTTCTTCCGCTGCATTCACTGTTGTAATCATTATGTTTATATCATCTGCGTATGCTACTAATTGGGTAGATTTGTTTGTAAGAATGTTATTTTCGCTCACCGTCAACCGTCTAATTACATATTCAAGAACAAGATTAAAGAGCGTTGGAGCTAGTTCGTCGCCTTGTTTCAGTCCTTGCGTTATCGTAAACTCATCAGTGATCTGTCCTTGAATACCTGTGCTTCACATTTTGATGGTATGCCAAATTCTTCCAATATATTAGGTAGAATTGTTCTATCTATTGAATCATAGGCTTGTTTAAAATCTACAAAGAGATTGTAAACGTCCATGTCATTCCAAGACATACTTGATATTCCCCAATGATTTTTTCCGTGAGAGGTTAAAGTCTTCGATTAATGATGTTTGTGAGTATTTTGTATCTCGAACAAAGTAAAGAGATGCCTCTATAATTCTGACACAAGAGTTTGTCTCCTTTATTATAAATAAGGCAGATTATACCTTTCTTCCATTGTTGGAAATTTTATCTATTCCCGGTGCTTTATGGATTTTTTGTATGTGTATCGTCGTTTGGACCTCCTCTAGCGTTGGGGTTTAGTTAATTTATTTTCTTCTCCATCTTCCCCAGCACTTGTTGTTGTACCTCCTGCCGTGCCTGCTGCTGCCTCTGTTGTTGTAATTGTGGTTGTGTCCCTTTGTTTAGTAATTCCCTAAAAAATGTCATCCAGGTTCTCTTAATTTCGTCCATTTAGCTATATTTCAACCTTTTTATTTTTGCAGAGGCTAGTCTTCGGTTTGTATTCCTGTCTTAAATGTTTGATAAATTGGTATGCACTACGTGTTTTGTTTTCCTTAAAATCTCTCTCTATGTTTAGTATCCGTTGGTTTTCGTACTTTCTCTTTTTCTGCCTGCACAGTTTATCTGCTCTTCGTCTTTTGTTCTCAAATTCTGTTTTTCTATCTCTAGTACGTCTAAGTATGTAATTCTTATGTGCTTTATTTCTTTCCTGTATAGCTTGTTTGCATTCTTCATCAAACCATGTTTCTTCTCTCCGTTGTGTCTTTGTTCCTAGGACTTCTTTCGCTGTGTTGAGTATGATACTGCTTATGGTGTTCCATTGGTTTTCTACTAAAGAAGAAAGGGTAGAATCGGAATAACACATGCATCTCCCGAAGAAGTCAAAAATC